TGTTTCAGTTGTGGAACAAATGGTGACCCTGCTGCAAAATGATGTTCTTGTGCAAAAAACTTAAATAAAGGCATTTCCCGTAAGAAAAACTTCAGTGCTTTTCCGTAACTAAACCTTTATAATGTAATGTTTATAGGAACTAGAAGAAAACCAAGAGGTTGTGTGTACCTATTGGGAATTTACGAATAGGTATGTACAATAGTTTTAAAATAATTATTTTAGTTATTCTTACCATTTTTTTTTTATAGCGAGGAAGCCATATTTCTGACAGGATATTATTGTCCATATATTACATTACACTACATTACATGATTATACGCTACAATAAATTGATTTCATTATTAATTAATAGACCTACGTCTAATAGGCCTACATCCACAAAAGTAAAATGAGACGATCGATAAAACAACCAGAAAATACTTGCAACAGCTTTGCTTAAAACATATGAAAGTGTCTTTTTTTGTTTGTTTAAGTACGAACGGTGGGGTGTGGTCAGAGAATGGTTGCTGGGTTGCATCAGTACTGCTGAATCAAACGACTTGTCATTGTACACACTTAACTAATTTTGCAATTCTTATGAGAGTTGACAAATCACCCAAGGTGAGATAACAAACAAATTATTATGTATGTTAGTTCAATCAAAAAAAAAAAAATTCATGCATTTATAAATTAATCAATTAATCAGTTTATCCATCAATCAATAAATCAGTATAATTCATTCATTCAATCAATCGTTCGTTCGTTCTTTTGTTCGTTCCTTTGTTCGTTCATTCATTCATTTATTTATTTATTCATTCATTCATTCAATCAATCATCTATTCTTCGATTCGCTTATTTATGTTTTTTCTGGTATACCATTCTACAAAAACTGTACAAAACTACACAGTTTAAGCATTGTTTATAGCATACAAACAAACGTCATTAATAATAAATATATTAAAAGTGAGGGCTAAGGTGTTTTTAGCCACTATGTATGCGCTGAAACGTGGAGATCCGTTACTAACCCTTGGTACCCAGGTCATTTCCACCCGGAAGCAATATCTTACTCTTTCGAAGAGTGTACTGCGTTATTTATCGTGCACATCGGCCAGGTTGCTAAGGGACCAACGGCTTAAACGTGTAATCCGAAATATGATGCGTTGTGAAACCCTCCGGTTAAAAACTAGGAGGGCAGTGCAAAAATTGAACCGGGGACCAAGGTTGAGTAAAGAAGCCTGCAGTTCAGCTCGGACACAGTAGCTACCGCCAACTTAGAGTTGCTTTTGGGTGTGTCGATGGATAAATGATAGATAGGTAGATAGATAGATGGATCAATATATTCTTTAATATCCCTGAATATTTGTTTTTAATCATCTCTCTTTATCTTATAGGTACTTTCAATTGGAAATACTATTGCACTGGATATTCTAACGTACTTGCTGACATCACTCTCCATCATCTGTCTCCTTCTGACTATTTTCACTTACGTTTGGCTCAAGTAGGTTCACCACATTGCACGACTACGAGAGTTTGCACAATACAGAATTGATATAGTATAGAGAAATGGTGGTGATGACATCATCGAATGTTATGAGTTGACCTAATGAAAAAATCATTAGTCATATAATACACAGAGAAAAGCAACAATATCGTTATGTTATGCATGATACAATAGTCATCCATGATGGCATTGACGATAATAATGCTAATTCTCTTTTCATGACAACTATAAGTAACGATAATAGTAAATGTGATGATAGGATTAATGATGATGATGCTGATTATGATGACGACGATGATGACAGTGATAATGATAACGATAATGATGATGATGACACTGAAAATAATGATTATTTATAAAGCCTGAAAATTGTTATGCTTATAACAATAAAATTAGTTATATTATTAACGCTGTTTATTTCGATGTGATTTTGCGTCAGGAACATATCATAGGAGTGATGTTTCGCCCTATGAAGATGGCATGATTACAAATGACGGTTAATATTATTAATGTAATGATGATGATAACTACAAAGGTGATGATAATAATGCTGATTATGATGATTGAAGATGGTGAAAGTGATAAAACTGATGCTGCCGTTTAATATAGTTATTATTCGATTTAACGATAATCATAATAAAATGGACACTTATATTTTGCTCGCTTATAGAGTTTGGCGAACGAGGCGAAACATCATCCACATTAATCTGGCCGCATCGTTGGCATTGGCACAGTTTCTTTACATTTGCTTTATCGACGGTACTAGCACTAGGGTAAGAAGAGTATAGTACTAAATTCGACAAAAATATTTTGTATTAGGCCTATCAGTGAATAAAGCTATTCTTTCGTACATGATCTATCCAATAAAAATGTAAACATTCTGAATTTGTATTATCCATTTTATTATTATTACCATTAAAAAATAGAATTAATAATTGTTTGATCAAAGTTAGAAAAAATTTCATTTCCTTTTACAAGGCGGGTTGCACTTTTATCGCCATACTTCTACAATACCTGTTTACTGTCAGTTTTGCGTGGATGTTGCTGGAAGGTGTACATCTTCTTATGAATTCTAACATTAATCTTCAGCATAGAAATCCAAAGGGTTATCTTTATGTCATATTCGGCTGGGGTAAGTCAATCATGGTCACTTGTTATTGTAGTAAAATATCAATAATTATGTTCACAAATAAAGTTTGGTAATTAAATACATATATATAATCTTGTTATTTTTGTATTTTTCAAAACATTGATATAAAGAATAGTATTAATTTTATTGGTGTTTTAACTATTTGGTGTTTGTCATACGCTCATAAATATAAATGTGTGTCGTTGGAAGAAATATTTAGGTAACTAAAAACGTATATATAATGTGTTATCTTGTATTAATATTAATATCATTACATCATTTGAGACTTTAAGCAGTGATGTATCCATCAGACCTCCCTGTAGTAATTTGCATACAATCATTTGCTTGTATGTTCCTTGGTTTTGGCACTCTGTTGATCGACCATACAAACCAGGCCTATAATTGGGTTGTTTAAGCTTCTATTCGTCACAGCGCCACTAGTCACTATTAGTTTGACCAAAGATCTTTGGTTTGACTTAGTTCACTCGGTGGTAGCGCTGTACGGACATAATTGTAACCAGAGCCATAGATAGAAAGAGTTGCGACATTGAGAATTTTGAAGCCATGTGTCAAACGCGATGCGCGTTCTGTGTCTAACGTGATGTGTGTTCCTGTGTATAATATTGTATAATACAATTATCGGCCTCCTGTATAGTTTAATTCCATTTAATGTTTTTAGCAGTCGAATTTCATGTAACTATATTTATAGACTTTTTTTTTATGATTTCACTATTTATATCCAATTTCATATCATAAATATTGTAATAATTTACTATTTTTAAGCAGTTATTTAATCCTCGCCAATAGACCGAGAGAGAGAGCCCTTCGATGGCAAGCATTCTTCAATTAGGCAATCCTGCCATATAGACCCTTAAGTAGCTCCTGTTGTTTTTGCAAATAAATGATATGTGACGAGCAGCAAAAATTATTTTAATATGTATATCAAAATGTAATTAAAATCCGTATATAGGGTATATAGATTGTTGCTCTTTAAATTTGAATATGAACGAGCCCTATACAAATCTTATGTTAATTATTTTATTATTATTATTTATAAATATTAAAAGAGTATAGGTCAGTTGTCCGCAATATATAAACTGTGCTTTGCTGTAAATGTTATAAATTGTAAGTGTTAAATGATATACAGAATCTGTGATATATTCAACTTGTGTAATTGTGTAACGTAAATTTTATAGTATTAAAAGTCTCGCCTCTGTTTTAATATTGTATTATGGCTGCACAGTATGTTACTTTTATGAACACACTGCAAGAGCGTGTCCGCTGTTTTAAAAGCGTCGTTTCCAAAATAAAGTCATAATAATTATATATAATAGTATGCAATAGAAACAGCAAATCATTTTTAAGATTATAAAACATCACCTTTATTTTCATTGTCATTCGTATTTATACAGGCTGTACAAACAATTGAAATTAAGAAGAACCATTTTTAAATATTTTTTAGCGAACAACTTTTAAAGGTCGTCAGAAAAGGGTGAATTTATTTAGCTTAAATATTTTTCCGAACGCATCTAGGCGAATGAGAAAATAAAAATAAAATTTTAATGATGAACGTAAACAGTGTAGGGGAACGAAGAGCGTAATAAAATACATACTTATTAGTTAATTTACATTTTTCGTGCCCAAAAATATAATTATATTTTTATTCGAAATCACCATTATTTGCGGTCGGAGGTTCGCTAAACAAGATATAAAAAAAGTCTCGCCTAAACATCTTCAATTGATTAGTGAAATTATGCCTATTTTATTTTTTTAACTACTTTCCTCATAGGCAATTAAGCTTTTGCTTGATAGTTCAGCCGTTTTTATGTGTGATAACAGAACCTAAATCGAGGTAAGGCTAGGCCTAGCCTAGCAGCGCTGGATATTCTAATGTTTTCGGCGCCTACGATATATCTTCTCACGACCTATCGCAAAATCAAAATGAAAAATTCATCCGCATTTATTTTTTGTGTGGAACACAAAAAAATCAAATTTCAGTCTTATTTTACTTTTTTTTTTCATTCTTAGGAATGTCTAAATTCAGTTAAACTAGCAATTCCGTATTATATTTATAAATCTTTATAACCATTATACAAAAATTAGATTTTTCTTAAAAACTGAAATTTTGCCGGGAATGGGGCTGTATGGTTTCACATTCCTTGACTTATGTTATGGAATGAAACTTCGTCGATTTCTCGAAACATTGTTTCTATTTCTTTAATCATGTCGAAGACGGGTTGAGAAACATATATTAAGCTGTCGCCAACATAATCTTTCAACTTCGTCAGTTTGGAAACTGCAGTTGATGTTGGCGTTACGAGTGTGAAGGCAAGGCAAAGGTCACATTGGGATTGATACTTCTTTTCGAAACACAGTATCCGGCTAAGTAGTAAAGACTGTTAAGTTCAGACACACTATTTGTATTTAAGTACCGATACGCATCCTAATGGTTAAATTGCCTATTTAACTCTCTGTTAGATTTATCTGGTATCCATAGGGGGAAACTAAACCAATGAAGAGGGTTACCATTACCATTAATTAAAATACGTCGGGTCTTCAGTCTTAGTTAATTAATAATGTGACGAATTAACAGTAATTGAAAAAAATTCTAATTCATTCCAATAATTTACGCGAGTAGGCCTATGGAATTTACGCGAGCACACACGCGCGCAAATATTCGATTATATATAAATTCTGATATGCTGTCCAATTATAAAATATAATTAAGTGTGTGAAATTAATATGCATTGTACGTAACACATATACTTTGCATGTGTTCATCGGGAAGATTATGACACAAAATGGACGGTGTGTACCACGTGACTTTCGAAAACCAAGGAGCGGAATGTCGCAACTCTTTATATATATGGCTTTGATTGTAACTAGAGTCTCTATAGGAACTCTAATTGCAACCTGATTGTAACTGAACAGACTGTAAATTACGACATGGAGCAGGATTCGATGGGTAATTTATATTATGTTGGTATTATATCGTTTAACGATTTATGAAATCTTAGATAGTTTTCAATAAGGATAAAAGTAGTTTTTATTAAATGGTTTTTTTTAATTTATATATTCACTAATGTTTTTAAGCAGCCAACTTTACTTTTTGCATTATGGTTCTGATGTAATAATTATTTTTAAAGAAAATATGAAACTTGACCTATTCTGCATAGAAATAATTATTTACATATAAATTATTTTTTATTTAATTTGATATAATATATGAATTAAACTCAGTTATTATTATTTGCTTTAACCTCAAAGGTCCGCCTCTAGTTATTGTGTTAATTGCATTCTTATCTAAGCCATCAAGTTATGGAACTGCACAATCGTGAGTTTTTTTTTTCAACATATGCATTTATAAACATTTCACCTTTATCGATTTTGTTTTAATTTTCTATGTTCGTTAGCCCTTTAATTGATTCGCAATAAATTCATTCAATGTCTTCTTTGTTGGTAACATAATTTAAACCAGTTTATTTTTGTTATTACCAATATTGATGTCAGTGTTTTTTTTTCGTTTGTTTTAGGTGTTGGCTAGATACATCAACAGATATTATCTGGGCCTTTGTCACGGTCATCCTTTTAGTGATTGCTGTAGGTATTTTTGGACAATAATGAAGATGACGACAACGCTGACAATGATAATAATATTGATGTTAATGAATAAAAATAATCATAATCATAATTTGTTTGAATAGAGAATAATTATATTACTTGAATTTTGTAAATCCATGATAAACTACCGTATACGATAACTACAATTCAGTAATATATGGTGACGCAAAATTACACAGCACTGCTCTTGTGTACGACTGTGTCATCGATAACTCCATTGCGTCATATTGACGACACTTGTTTCTTTCGAAGGGAAACATATTCATTCTATTGGCTGTTATCAAGACGTTCGTGAGCCTTAAAGTAAATGCGAGCAAAAGCAGGAAAGAACGGATGAGGTACGGTATGTTTGCAACGGCACATAATTGAGTAAGAATTTGGAATGAATTAGTCAATCATCAGCATTATTATCAAAATTGGTATTACAGTAATACATCATTCGCATACTCAACATCAACATTTATTTATTTTATTTTATAACATCATTATCAACACTTCTGTAATTCTGTTAAAATCGTGATCCTCATCCTCAACATTACCATGACTCTTTTCCTCGTTATCATCATCATCTTTATCTTCCCTGTCATCGTCATCATCATCATCATCACCATGATCATAATTATCGTTATCATTATCACTATCATCTTCAAAATGATTTATCATCATAATCATCATATAAAATCGGGCACACACTGCGTCGTGCGAGTTTTTTTAATTATATAATTTATATAGCGCCTATCACAATCCGCAGATTATACAAGGCGTTGGCATCATTATTTCCCTGGTCACTGGATACTGAGTTGGCAGAACCGCACATTGTGCAACCTCTGCTCCCTGGGGAGTATCCTTGGTCATTGCTGCATTTACGCTCACGACCCATACATTCAATGCCATACCATATCCTACCAGGTACCCATTTATACTCCTGTGTGGCTAGAGGCAAACGTAAGTAAAAGTGCCTTGCCCAAGGAAACAAGCAATGCGACGAGCATCGGTCTCGATCTCACGATCAGAAATCCAACACCTTTACACGCTGCGCCACACGCTTGACGACGCGACGCCGTCTACTGATTGTCGATGGCAAATTGAGCGGAATGTGAAAACGATCCGATGCGTGCGGCTCCGACGTGTGCGTTGCGTTCTCCGGAGTCGGTCCAGTGTGTACCCGGAATAGTATAGGGCCTATACACAGACAGATAGAACCGTCAATATTTTAATTATTTGTAGAAACAGTATTCGTGCGGTCTTATTGATGATACCATTGATGGGTTTGACCTGGGTATTTGGATTGATTGCATCATTTGGCGATACGATTTTTTTCACATACATGTTCGTGATCTTTAACTCATCACAGGTAGGTACTATTTCTTTTCAACTTTTCATCACTTATCATCATATTGTATCAGTTGCACACTGTCTCCCTCAGTGGCGCATTTAGACTTTTTGAAATGGGGCTGATGAGAGGGGGTGAATGGGGAATACTATTGTTATTAGGCCTATTATCTTCTCTTTTTTTTTTCTTTTTTTTTTTGAGATTTCAGGGGAGCGGAGGGCGTAATAGAAATAAATACAAAAACAGCCTTTTATGAAATTTTCATCTTTTCGTAGCGGAGGGTGCGCTAATTGGCCAAAAATACAATTTTATTTTGATTCAAAATCACCAATCCTGCCGGTCGGAGAGTTCGCTAAACAAGGAATAAAAAAAAGTCTCGCCTAACTGTTAATTTCAGAACGTATTCAATTGTAATTTTATAATGTCAATGACTGTACACGCAAAATACACTCAGTCGGTCTTTAAATTTGGAGGAATCTTATATAATCCACTTTCTTAGGACTTCATTCTATTACGTTAAAAAACATGTTTGTTGAGAAATTATTTAGATATGTTATTCTTTGCAGGGGATATTCATTTTCTGTCAGCTTATAGTATTCAATGATGAGGTAAGTAGGCCTATAAAGTCGAAGTGTTGAGAAAAACACCTCTGCCGCAGTGGTGGCGCACGGTTCTAAAACACTTATAAGATCTTTGATGCCCACACAGATTAATAGGGGATGATGTGAAAGTTATGGATGATGGCCTACCATAGTTTCTACTCACAATCAAAAATGTATAACCTTTGCAATGTCTTTCCTTTATAAAATCTCATATTAAATTACATTATGATGGCGGGCAGATTCACTCATACACTGTCACAACTAAACTAAGGCACCAGGGGATCATCTTTTTCTCACTGAATCTGTCGAGCCTCCTTCTGAAGGTGCTTCAATTCTACTACCTTCGAAATCTAAGTTACCGACCTTTATGCACATTTTAATAATAATAATAATAATAATAATAATAAATAATAATAATAATAATAATAATATGGCCAATTATTATTATTTATATTGAAATGAGGCTGAAGGTGGGTTAGGCCTACTATTATTATTATCTTATTTTTGGAGATTTCAAGGGAGCGGAGGGCGTAATGAAAATAAATACAATAAATGTTTTTAATGAAATTTCCATTTTTCCGTAGCGGAGGGTGCTCTAATTGGCCAAAAATACAATATTATTTTTTTTCAAAATCACCAGTTTTGGCGGTCAAAGGGTTCACTAAACAGGTATAAAAAGGTTATTTTAGCGTGTATTTTCTGATACTTTGTCATCCCTTCCATTTGAGACGTTTGAAAATAACAATATCGATGTAAACGGTAATCACATTGTGAAACGCGTTAAAATAACCAAAATACGGTTAATATTCACTCGAATGTTACTACAATTATATCACATCTATTCTATATTATTATATATAAATATTTAATATTGTACCGCAGATTCGCCGACTTTATTTCCAGTACTACAAACGAAATGTATCAATACCAACGGTTTCCCGACATGAACGAAACCACAGAAGGGAGGGCAGGACCAGCACAGTTCAGGTATGACGTCATGTTATATAACATGTGCGTCCATTGGTTGATCATCATCATCATTATCATCACCATTACTACCTGAACTATTATTACAGTAATTTCTGCTTTCTCACCAACTCTATCACGATTTACACCATGTATTTTGTTTCAGATACCGCCAATGAGAAGACATTTTAAGATAGGCATGTATATTATGTATTCGTTTCTAATTAGTTCAGTAGAATAAATAATAGAATTACTCATGTATCCAAGGAGGTTGATGTTTGTATGTATTATTTGAACTTGTATCATTAGTCAACCCATGAGAGTCCCACCCTAACTAGAACCGATGATGATGATGACATTGATGATGATTATGATGATTGTGATGACGTCAACAACGCGGACAACGATTATGACGACGATGGTAATGATAATGGTGTTGATGGTGAAGATGATGTTGATGATGATGATGATGATAATGATGGTGTTGATGATGAGGACGATGACAATAATAGTGATGATAATAATAATAATAATTATTATTATTATTATAATTATAATATAACAATAACAAAAAACATTTACATCACGTGCTAAAGCTAAAAAAGATATATTGTGACCAACAGAGGGAACTGTAATAATAACTGTTAAAAGAAATGAAAGAAGAGTATAAATTATAATTGAAGGAAAACAAATCCTGATGATTGCTAATACTATATATATGACTTTTCCACAGGTTTAATACATGCTTGGTGAAGTGCAAGAATTTCATTAAAAGGACGAGAACTAAGTGTGGGTGGTCAGGAGCCGCTTAAAACTCTCTCGGTAGATGGAATGCAAAGGGGGGGGGGGGAACAATCTTTCAGAACCGGTGCAAAAAATTAGGGATTTAAAGAGATTGTTATACTGTACTTAAGCATAAGAGCCTAAGTATAACAATCGCTAAAAAGTACAGATTTTACCTCAAAGGACTGCGTTTTCTCCCACCTATAACGCTCTTCCCTTTACCCCACCCACTGGAGCTACACCTTTTAAAAACCTACATGATACATAGCAATATCAATGACACTGTATGTGTTCTGCATTGTTAATAGGGAGCCTTTGGAATCACTATGTGTATGTTACAATGTACCGACTTGGTGAAATCCGTATGCTTAATTCTATGTGCTGTCTGTGAGCATCACTGGTACGAACGTGACGGAATCCAGTTTTGCTTTAACTGGTGCTACCAATATGTAGAATGTCTTCTTTTAATTATTATGTATTATTTGAAGCCGAATTAAATGATAATTTACTGTACTATATTTAATATGGGATACTATTTTTAATATTCTAATTGTGTAGATACGGTAAGCTTGATATGAAGCTCTTTACAAGTGTATGTTCTTTGTGTGGTTTATTTTTGTATTTTGATTTTCTTTTCTTTTTGGTATTTTTTATCATGTAAAGCGCATTTGAGCATGATTTATCATGAATTATAAATGTGCTTAATAAATAAATGAGAAAAAGCCAAATATAAGGCTATTTACTTT